AGGAGGGGAAAAGGGGTAAGGAGACCCTTAGTTTCCCTGTAAAGCACTATATGCCTTGGAGTTTCAAAGACAAGGAAGTCAAAAGAAATATCACACAGGAAATATCACATTCATACTAATGGAAACGTCGAATTTAGCAGAACATTTGTTCTGTGGCAACCTCAGAAAATGTCAGTCTTGTTAGCTATTCTTCTTTGCCTTACGAAGCAGCAGAGCAAAAATAGTTTGATGCTCAGGAAATCATGAAGCACTTCACTTTACCACATCCACAGTATTTTGCCAGGCTAGGCTTCTTCTCTAATCTAAATTAGCAGCATAGATCAAGAATTATTTGTCCAAGCATTTTTTTTTTAAAAAAAAATTTAAGTATAATTTCCTCCCTTAATTTAACATAAATTGGTTTGGAAACATGAAACAAAGCAATTTATTTCCAGAAAGTATTAAAAAAAAATCTTCCATTCATTTAAGTTAATGTAATCTTGAGGAATCAACAGCACATTCAAGTTTAACGCAGAAGGCATCCAAGGCAACTTAAATGGGGGGGGGAAAAAAGTTAGAAAAAATAGTTTTTTCTTTCCTCAAATTCAATCCCTTTTAAAGTATGTTTTTAAGTATTAAAAACAATTAAGAACAATTTCAGCATTAAAAAAAAACAATGCCACTCAAAGTACGCTTTTTACTTTAAGTTAGAAAATGACAAAATAATAAAAACACACACTAGCTGTGAAATGAACCATGGGAAGCAGAAGTGTCATATTATTTTTCTTCTGGAGAACAGCAACATCTTCAACTTAATGCATTGTGAAGAAAAATCATTTGGACATCATTAAATGTAATTTTCCCCTTACTAACTTCAAACACATGGTTTAAATTTGGCCTTCATACAGCCTTAAAAGTCTTCATTTAAAAAGAAAATGAAGCCATCAAAAGCACACTGCATGCATTTCCTCACAGAATGAAATCATGGCCTGTTTTGAAAGAGCCTGCCATGGGCTCGGAATAAGAAAATTAAAATATATCCATGGCTATTTTCAGTCCTAGTTTAGATCCTTATTCACTGAGCTGCTGGTTTTGTCTTTAAAGTATTTTTGGCTTTAAATAAATCAGAGTAAATCAGTCTTTCAAGCCAAAATAAACTCCCTCCCAAAATAAAAGCCATCGTCTCTTCAGAAACAAAACTATTGGTGCTTACTGTTCACCAAGGATGCAGCACAGCGTTATTTTCTAACACTTAGCACAGTCCTGCTAAATTAAGTGATTGCTCTTTGCACGGATTATCTGCAGATTATCAACTACAGTCGTTGAGATAGGTGACATTTATTGTCTATCACTACTAAACTGCTGCCTGTCTTTACAAACCTTTAAGATAAACTCCAAGGGTAAAGGATGTATG